CGTGTAGCTTTGCGTGAAATTCAAAAACAAACAAACAAACAAAATAGTATTGAGGACCATATTCTATTGCTCTGTTAATGTTTCTCTTCTATTTTTACAACGACTCTGCAGCAATGTTTCATTAAAATCAGGGTTTCTCGAAGAATAGCCGTGTCACTATTTTTCCATCTTCCTTTTTGTGCAATTTTCAACAAACCAGCAAGGGGCTGCGACTATCAAACGTACTTTTAAGTAGATCAAAGAAACAATAGTCCATTGAAGCTGTATCGAAGGCTTAACAGATATGTTATTAGACGGAGTTCTTGTGATTCGAGTCTCTTCGGTTGTCTTTTTCGTGAAAATAGTTGTTGATTTTGTAATGTTCCTGAAAGCTTGTGAACTCTTTCCTTCATCAGGTTCAATTCTTTTTTTTATTATCTTGTTAACGGCATCAGAAGATATTGCCAATTTTATCGCAGAGACGTTCTGTAGTTCTCTCTCGCAACCATAACCTTCACTTTGTGTATGGCGGCTCTTCTTCTCATTGACTAGGGGCGTGGTTTCAGGGCCCTTTACTGTCCTAAGTATCCTGCTGTGCAAATTTTCCTGCGTACATCGAGAACATTAAACACTCTTTCCTTCTTCACTATGTTGTGTTCTTGGGTTTACATCATTTAATAATCTTAAAACGAACGGTCACGTGTTTCCTCCCTCCCCACCACTACTGCATGCCACTTTTGCATTTAAACAACAATAACTTTTAAAATATTATATGTCTTATGATCAGTGGAGGATTTGTAGAATTTTGTTTTACGTTATTTCGATTTTAAACAATCCGGTTTATTATATCTTTTTTTTGTGTGTGTGTGTGTGCTAATATTCTGAAGGGATATATAGGTTCAATCACTTGTTACCTCTCTGTTCAATTCAGTACCATTCCAACATGAAACACGTCTGTGTTTCAAATGATGCCAGACACGCTAGACAAATCTATGACTAACCATTATATCCACAAACTCCAAAATAATGAAGTCCGCTGGAAAGAAAAGAATGTCAAGGATAAAAGAAAGAATCTGAATTATTTACCAATTTCCATTACTTGGAAAACGAAAATAAAGAGCATCTTTACCTCTAAGTTTGAACACAATACTCTCTTACACACCTCAGTTAAATGCTGCTAATAAAGTAGTAGGTTTCTTTTTCCATTTGTATATTATAAACAACAACGAAAGTAAAAAGGCTAATCTACATGTGCTTTATAACTTTTCTACATATTTATACACGAGCTTGCACCTCGTCGAGGCACGAAATGCAGTTCATTCCTGGGAAAACACAATTCAAATTTAAATAATTGATGTTAATCATAATAATAGCTTGTGAATGTTTGTGATGTAGCTAATGTCACGGTTCATGCACATAATAGTAGTAAATATAAACCCTAGAGCGTACAATTTACATGATTCGTCGACCAGTGTTATATATATATATACGTTAGTTTGTTTTTGTTTTATTGTATTTCGTGCAAAGATACACGAGGATTATCTGCGCTAGCTGTCCATAATTTAGTAGTGTAAGACTAGAGGGTAGGCAGCTACTCATCACCACCCACCGCCAACTCTTGGGCTACTATTTTACCAATGAATAGTTGGCTAAACGTGGTTCATTTTTATGATCTGCAGTATTCTTGAACGATGACAATCATATTGGAAAGTTGTCAACTTTCTAAGGATCTGCATTGCCCTAAAAGGTATTATTCGAGTTGATAGCTTCCTAAGCGCAACGTTCTAGAAAACCTGGTTAATGCTATACGTCAGCTTCGTATATAAGGACATAAAATATTCATAAAAGACACGGGTATTTCTAACAATGTTCTAAAAATACGATTCATGTTGTCAGTTTTCCTAGGAACTGTAATGTTCTGAAAAAAAAAAAGGTTAATAACTAAGGTTAAAAAGTCAACAAAATGTAACGTAATTAGCGGACACGTGTATAAAACTGTGAAATAGACGAAAAAAATTAGCTGGAAGAAGTATCCAACGCTGCCTGATTATTAGACAGTTTTAACGACGATAAATGCACGCTTGTTTCGTCTTATGGTATATTAAGTATGAGCTTTGTCTATGTAGTTTATGATTGGCCTGTTGTTCATCGCGTGGCTGAGTGTATATTACCCCCTGGAGACATCGAAGTATTAGAGAATGAATGCTTCTTCTTAGCTCAGTTTTACTAAACTCTATTTAGATTTCTACGTCAGATTAATGGACCCCCGAAACCTAGAAGTTTACATGTTTTCCTTGACAGCCATGGATGTACTTGAGTTATGTCTAAATTATTCAGTTGCATTTACATCCTTGAACTTTTCTCTACGCGTATGTGAGCCTTGTATTTGCTTTGGCTACGTATATAGTGTATCCCTGGAGAATCCCCAAGTTTTCTAGTGGTTATATGTTCACGGTTGAGCTTAGTTTAGTAGTCCTACGTACATAGCTATTTTACTAAATATGTTATATTGTATAAAATTAAGTAATCTTTTGAATTTTCTCTTTTCTCGTAAGTATCCTCAAATGTTGTACCCGAAATTATGTAGAGGTTCTTCGTTTGGGCTTTGCTATAAGTGGGAGGTTATTTCAATGACTATTGGATAGCACAAGTAATATATATAGGTAGTCCACGACTTACAGCGATGGGGTAACATGTCTGTCAGAGAAGGGAAACGTTTGGAATGGGCAGATAATTCTATCAAGACTATATAGCTGTATTCATGAGATTTTACCGAAACGTTGAAGCTACTGTGGTAAGTAACATTTAATTTTTATGGCAATGCTTTTAATTAAAATCATTCCAGAACGAATAAAAATAATCAGAATTCTGATTAAGTACTTGTGTATATTTTTTGTTTATGAATGTGTTCAAGTTATAGCAATATTTTTAATATACTCTTATGAAAATATAATGGAATTTCATTATGTTTATGCAGGAAATTACTGAATCAAGAACGGCATTAAAAGTTGTACTTTATAAGTGAGTTTGGACAAAATGTGTAGGCCTTTTTTAATGGACGTGAAATAAGTGATAATGAAATTCTGTGTTTAATGAAGTAAAACAGGAAAAGGTTGAGTTGAGCATAAGATAGAAACTGGTGACTTTTATAGTGCTGAAAGTAATATATGTGACTTCACAGACACTTGTTGATGGGTTATTTACATCAACACTTGTTTGACAGGTTCCAACCAGTTAATCAAACAATCAGTGTGGCATGTAATACTTGCAAAACTAGTGTTATTTATTGTTGCTGTCCAGTAAAATGGATCTAGTGACGTAATTCTAACAGTAAAGTGGGCTTTATGTTGTACGTGGTCCAGAACCCGAATGCTTAAAACTGAAACATGTTTTCAAATGCTGCATGAGCGTTTATAACCAGAACATTTATAACCTGATTCGACGAATACCCAGTTACTGCAATCTAATAAGGTATATCTGTTTTGTATGACACAAAAAGTTTCATCGTTACTTTACTGACATCAGCAATACTTGGTGTCTAAAGTATCACCGAGACTGTTTAATAAGTTTTCTATTGTTTCATTGCACATTTGTTTTGTATATTACTAATTTTGTTTGGTATTAACTTAAGTTAAATACAATATCTGTAAATTCTTTCTGTACTGGCGCAACAATTATTTACCATAGAGTTGTTTCCCAAGTTTTGTAGTGGTTATACTGTATGGATCATATGGCTTCTGCAGGATAAAGTGCTTTAAAAGATTGATTTGTGGGTTGGCCCTTTGGTAAAGGTGTGGAATTCGGAGCTGGCTGGCTGGGTTCGAATTCATGCCACACCACAAATGTTTCCCGTTCTTTAAACTTTGGGTGCATTATGATAATGACAGCCAATCCCTTGGCGTAGATAGTGGCTGGTGACTGGTTGTCTTTCCTCTGGTCAGTAGTTCATAATTAGGGACGGCAGTAAATAACCTTAGTAGCTTTGCCATAAATACAAAATACACAGAAATTTTGGGATAACTCCCGAGGCTTCTCAAACATTACCTGATTTATTTCTGTAGTTGTATATTGCTGTTTAGCTTATGATAAACTTGAAATAATAATTATAATAGACAGGACCAATTATGTTTTCAATTCTAAAAAAAACCTCCCATCTCTGTCATCTCAGAAAAAATAAATCAGTGAATTTCAGAAACACCTAAGACTTAACCCAAATTACATAACTAAAAACAGTAGCTCTGAAAATGTCGCACAAGAAATTTTCCAGTGCTTGTTTGTTTGTTTGTAATTAAGCACAAAGCTACACAATGGGCTATCTGTGCTCTGCCCACCACGGGTATCGAAACCTGGGGGGCTTTGCAATGCTACTAAAAGATGAATTAAGTATGACATCACAAAAGAAATTACTTTAATTTGAGGTTAGTAAACAAACTGTGGAGCAACAACCACATCATTATAATACCTCCCCCCATCATGCACAAAATACTCCACAGTGAAGGGGTAAACTGTTAAATATGCTGTATTACTAAATAAGTTTACAATGCAGAGTTGTTCTCACGTATAGATTTTTATAATAAAACACCCCACCTCCACCCCATCATGCACCAAATCCTCCACAGTGAAGGGGTAAACTGTTAAACATGCTGTATTACTAAATAAGTTTACAATGCAGAGTTGTTCTCACGTATAGATTTTTATAATAAAACACCCCACCCCCCACCCCATCATGCACAAAATCACCCACAGTGAAAGGGTAAATTGTTAAATATGGTGCATTACTAAATATGTTTACACTGCAGAATTGTTCTTATGTGCAGGTTTTTATACTAAAAGTACTCCCTCCCCCTCCATCGTACACAAAATCCCCCACAATAAAGGGGGAAACAGTTAAACATGCTGTATTACTAAATGAGTTTATACTCCAGAGATGTTCTCATGTGTAGCTTTTGTTACAAGTTTTACGGAAGAGAGTGGCCAGTTGGGGGGTCTACAAATTCCTTGTTCCCTGATATACAACTAGCGTAGAACGAATGCATGTACATTAAAGCAAGGAGTTTCGCGAGTCTGACACATTCTGTTCTTCATTTTACAGAGTTCGACTTCAACGCACACTCGTGCTCGATTTGTTTTTGGTGATTGGAACATTTCTTACAGCACGTCTTTTGCAAGCGGAAGCATTTATTTCCATTTTACTTTTACATCATGCAGAAATGGAAAAGGTTATGCTGGTGAGGAGTTAATATTGAAGTATCAAAACCATTAGTACCGAATACTTGTCCGATTTCCATTCTGTTTTGTCTTTTACAGAATTTCACTCAGAAAAATAAAAAGACATGTACAATTTTAAAACATTACATTTAACTGGCTTTGCACGAAAACATTTTTACTTTAGCATCTTCGATTTTTATTTAACTAGATTGTGTTTGTTTGTTTGTTTTGGAATTTCGCGCAAAGCTACACGAGGGCTATCTGCGCTAGCCGTCCCTAATTTAGCAGTGTAAGACTAGAGGGAAGGCAGCTAGTCATCACCACCCACCGCCAACTCTTGGGCTACTCTTTTACCAGTGAATAGTGGGATTGACCGTCACATTATAACGCCCCCACGGCTGAAAGGGTGAGCATGTTTGGTGGGATGCGGATTCGAACCCGCGACCCTCAGATTGTGAGTCGAGCGCCTTATCCACCTGGCCATGCCGGGCACAACTAGATTGTGAAGGTGTTGTCTTTAATGACGCCCCATAGTGGCTCAGCGGTAAATGTAAGGGCTTATAAAGCTAAAAACCGGGTTTAGATACCCGTGGTGAGCACAGTACGGGTAGCTCATTGCTTAGCTTTGTGCTTAAGAACACACAAATAAAAACCTTTAATGATATCGAGTTAACATTTTTTTTTTGCTATAAACTTGAGTAATAAACAATTACAAAGTCCAGCAGATTTTTCTTTTATAATGCTTTCTTGCTTTTTTAGATGCATCTAGATAAGATATAAAAATATATATTTTCAGTTGTTTGTTTACAAAGGGAAGAAAATTTTAATACTCGTCGTAAACTATTTAGGAGTTGGAATTAAGTAGACAAATCACAAACAAACTGTTAAGTAGAACTGAAGAATGCAACTCAGAAAAGTCGGATTTTAACAGACAGTTAGAGACGCTCTTCCAAGTTAAAACTCGTCGTAAACTATTTAGGAGTTGGAATTAAGTAGACAAATCACAAACAAACTGTTAAGTAGAACTGAAGAATGCAACTCAGAAAAGTCGGATTTTAACAGACAGTTAGAGACGCTCTTCCAACTTAAAAAACTTAAGGTGTGGAAAACAGTTTTTATGAAGTTCATGATGAACTTATGGAGTCCGAATATATAAATTTAAGTCTTAACATTGACAAATGTGCTGGGTATGTTGAATCTCCAGCAAAACGTATGTTTTCAAGCTATTTGTATAATCCCACAACTAAAACGTATTCCCCCAGAGTTTACCTTGTCTGTTATAAATGTGCATCTATCTAGTTGTATGCATGTGAGTATCGCTTGTTGAATATGTTTCCCAGAAATCCTGAGTTAATTACAATTCCCAGAAGACTTTTTGTCATTCTTTTACGCGCCCCCTCTGGACAAAGTGTAAATATATGTAGGCGTATTCATAATTCCGCGTTGATGGTGTTTTCCCCGCCTTACAGCAGCTGTGGCTGATGAAAGACAGCATGGATGCCGAAATATTTCTATATGCCTTTATTTTTATACCAGACTATCCTGAAATAGCATTCTTGTCGAGTTTGTTTCTTACGCGTTTTCGATATTTCTGAGTGGATATTAAAACCTACGAGCGTGTTGTGTCAAAACTATCTGACGCTAGCGCAAGTGTTTGAGACGCTCTTTGAGACGGCTAACAAAAATCTTTTGAATTTCCTGATTACAGTCTGTGAAGAGAATAATGTTTTCATGTTGTACCCAGTTTATCTTCTCATTGAGTCACACCGCATCTTATACGAGTTCGTGCTTCACGAATGTAAGAATTTGTAACATTTAATTGATTTACCTTATTTAAGTTACTTATCGGAAAATGTCTAAAACCTTTTTTACTGACCAATAAAAATAACTAACTGCATCACTGTTAGTTTTTAGAACTTGTCGCACATACTGCAGAGAATTAGACATTCTTAACTTAGAAAAACAAACAACAACAACGAAATATACTTTCCAGATAATAAAAAACAACTTATTTGTGCCAACGTTTCGCCATTGTGGCTTCATCAGGGCTAGTAGTACAAGAAATGTTTAATGTTAGAACTTATAAAGATAGTTTTTTTCTAACTTTATTGCTAAAACACATCGCTGTTTGTCTTTATGGCGTTACATAAGTTTTACACATAATAAGTTACATAAGTTTTACACATAATAAGTTACATAAGTTTTACATAACGAAGTTCATCATTTGTTTTTCTTCCATAATAAGAGTCGCGTTCTTTA